CTAAGGCCTTAAGGCTAGAACTTCAAACTTGTATGGTGATTGGTCATGATCAGCAGATGACCTATTTGATTTTGGGTAAGGTAAGGTCAGGTCACATTGACTTGTAAAGCAAAACGGTTCCGATAAATAACTAAAGAACTTAAGCCCTAGGAATTCAAACTGATGGTGATTGTATGATCAGTAGATGACCAATATTGCTTTGGGGGTCAAGGGGTCAAAGGTCAGGTCACACTTGACCTTGAAAAGCAACGGTATTCCGATCAATAATAAGACCTTAAGGCTAGGACTTCAAACCTGGTAGGTGATTGGTCATGCAGTAGATGACCTATGATTTTGGGGTTCAAGGGGTCAAGGTCAAGTCTGATTGAAGCAAACGTGTTTCCGATCAAATAACTAAAGACGTTAAGGCCTAGGAACTTTCAAACTTGGTGTGGTGATTAGTCATGACAGTAGATGCCTATTGATTTGGGGTCAAGGGGTCAAAGTTTCAAGGGTCACATTGGACCTTGAAAGCAAAAAGGTTTCCGATCAATAACTAAAGACCTTAGGCTAGGAATTCAACTTGGTATGGTAATTGGCATGATCAGTAGATGACTATTGATTTTGGTCAAGGGGTCAAAGGTCAAGGTTTAATTGCCTTTTAAGCAACGGTTCGATCATAGCCTTAAGAACCTTAAGGGCTAGGAACTTCAAACTTGGTATGGTGATTGGTAAATGATCAGTAGATGCCCTTTGATTTTGGGTCAAGGTCCAAAGGTAACGTACATTGATCTTGTAGGTGAAAAACGGTTTCAATCAATAACAAGAATTTAGGCATAGGAACTTCACACTTGTGATGGTGATTGGTTATGATCAAGTCAGATGACCGCTATTGATTTTGGGGTTAAGGCGGTCACAGGTAGGTCATTGGACCTTTGTAGGTAAAGAACGGTTTCGATCATATGAAGAAACTAGCCAGGGAATTCAAACTTGAGATGGTGATTGGTCATGATCAGTAGATGAACCTATTGATTTTGGGGTCTAAAGGGTCAACGGTCAAGTTCACATTGGCTCTTAGGTAAAAACGTTTCGATCAATAACTCAAGAACCTTACCTTAGGAACTTCAAATTGGTATGGGTGATTGTCATGACCGAGAGGATGACCCCTTATGTTTTGGGGTTCAGGGGTTAAAGGGGCAGGTACATTCAACTTGTAGGTAAGAATGCTTTCCGCAATACTTAAGAACTTATGCCTAGGACTTCAACTTGGTATGGTGATTGGTCCATGACAGCAGATGACTATTTGATATTGGGTCAAGGGTCAAGGTAAGGTCAATTTGACCTTTGGTAACGGGTTTCGACCATTTACTAAAAAAGGCTTAGGCCTAGGAATTCAACCTTTGTGTGATGATGGTCATGAAACAGCAGATGACCGCCTATTGAGTTTTAAGGTGAAGGGGTAGGTCAAGGTCACATTGACCTTGTAAGTAAAGAAGTTTCTGATTCAATAATCAGAACACTTGGCTAGGATCTCAAAATTGTATGGTGATTTGTCATGGCCGAGATTACTCCTATTGATTTGGGATTAGCGAAAGGTCAGGTCACAATGACCTTGTAAGTAAAGGTTTCTGATCATAATAAGAACGATTCGGCCTAAGAAACTTCAAATTGTCATGGTGATTGTCATGATAGCAGATGACCTATTGTTTTGGGGTCAGGTGTCACATTACTTGTATGTTAAAACGGTTTCCGATAATATAAGGCGATTACTAGGATTCAACCTGGCATGGTGATTGGTCTAGACCAGCAGATGACCATAGTGATTTGGGTAAGGGGGTCAACAGTCCGGTAATTGACTTTAGGCAACGGTTTCTGATCAATTTACTTAAACGCGTAGGCCTAGGACATTAAACTTGTATGATGATTGGTCGGACCAGAGAGACTTTGAGTTTGGGTCAAGGGGTCAAAGTCATGACAGTAAGATATTTTATAACCCTTATTTAATTGTTATGATCATGGGTCAGAAGTATGCAATATAACCTTATCAATGACTAATTGGGCTGCTGATAGGGGGCATACATGTTTTTAACAAACATATCTTGTTTTATTTTGTTTTACATTTCATCAACATATTAAATGTAATATACGACTTCCATTATCTGGAAGTACGAAAAAGACTGAGGTACCTCCATGCATAATTCATCTGTCACAACTTCTTAATTATTTGCTTATAACCAAAGATACTGATGAAGTTTTTTGGGTTATATTAGCTTTTAGTCTTCAAATGTAAGAGAGGACGGAGGGTATTGTGTTACAGAAGATGGCAGGAAGATCAACGGCTCCGACTTCACTGGAAATAGGGACTGCACGAAAGGTAGATAAATTTAAATCAAGTAAACAAGTTCAATCTGCTAAAAGTCGGATAAATGAGGAAGCCAACTTTCTATAATCTAATACTTGTTTGGAAAATGATTTGGAGATCGAAGATTATAATCACGCATATATCAAATGATTGAAGTGTACAAATGATTCTTGTACTTAAAAATTTTAAATCGTTTTGTTTGTTATTTTTGATATGCATAACCAAGTACAAAGATTGAGAGGGTAGAAATGCGGAGCACGTATATTTAGAAAAGTCTTGAAGATATATACATGTTATTATGAAATAGGCGGATGAACACAATTGATAAGTGCGAACATATTCTTTTTTTATAATTTTGTTGTATGTTAAATGATATGCTGTTGACAAAATCAATCTGAATTTTGCGTATTGTTCTGAGTACGGGGAAGGTTATGTACTGCGCAATACAGGATGTAGACTTTGTCACAAAACGCGTATTATAATATTATTTGGCACAGAGTAAAGACTTCAAGTTTCAAATGGCCAAAAATTTTGCACCTTTTATGAGGAGACATGCTTGAAGAAGTGTGTGGCGGCCCGAAAAGGTTTTTAAAATTTTATATTTTATGGGTTCAGTCCCTTTATCTTGGAAAAAATTTTTTAGTTCGGTTTTAAAAAATGTTGAATATTTTGAAAGTGAAAACCCTTTGCTTTTAATATACAGTCTGCAATTTTCTGTAAAAATAGTTAAAAAATGTTTCCCCTAAAAATAAAAATAGCTCAAAAAAAAATTGATTAAACTTTTTTGTATTTTTTCATAAAAAATAGGGATTATAATGTATGACGATTAAGTCCCAAAGGGTTTTAAAATAAATTTTTTTTGAAAGTACGTTCATTGAATGAGTTTTATAGGTAGTAATAAAATAGCCCATGTAAAACCCAAAAACGCTTTGACAAGAAAGAATTTTATAATGCTTACAATCCCTTTGTTACAATTTCAGCAAGAGAACCCTTTGGCTGTTGGGTTAAAAGTTTTATATTTATTTAGTTCCCTGGTTGTTAATCCGGCAGTAGAAATTATTTCAATGTTTATATTTAACAATATTTTTTAAATCTTTTTTTTGAATATTGGGAAGGTTTTTAAAATTTTGATTTATGTACTTTTAAAAATTGGGTTTTTTGCAATTTGGACTGTTTTTTCAAATTTTTTAAATAAAAAATTATTTTTGCAATTACAAAAACTTTTCATGGTGTTATATACCGTATAGCATATTGGGTTACAGGTTCTTTAAGAAGTAATAAAGTTCGATTATCATATGTAAAATAGGATTTTTTTAGAGATTTTTTTTTTTCAATCGAGACACACTACTTGATTACTAATGTCGCTTATTATCTTTTGAATATACGTATTAAAGTTGGTGTAAGTTAAACATGTTTTCCATACTAAGTATTTAAATATTGATAAAAAATAAATAAGAAATGTATAGTGATAGATATTCTGATAATATTTCTATTTTAAATGATGACAAAGTTCTATATATATGTTATGATTAGGGTTACATTTATTATATGGTGAATAATAATATTTGGTTCTAGAACATTTGATACTTTGCTATTTTAGATGTGCAATTTTGGATGAGTTCTTACCCCCTTGCTAAAAAAATTCAAATATGATTATTTTTGGTTTATGTTATGTGTTCTGATGTTGAATAATTAAAACATATAAACATGTATTGCTAACCATTTTATTTCTCATCTGAAATGACATTTCAGATTGTCAAGACAGAAAATGCTGTCCCCCCTCACTCTATTGACAACAGAGATTTTGTCTAAGGACAGGACAGCAGTGTGCTCAATAAATTCTTGTGGAAATGTGAAGCTGAATTTATAATTTGAAGGGCGAAAAGATCGATTGCAATGCTGGTAAATAAACTGTAGTGTTTTTTTATTTAGTGTAACAACATCATTAAACAAATTTGTAGTACTACTACTAAGAACATGGTTTATGTAGAGTTCAATGAATATTTCAATAATAATAAATCTTGATTCTGATTTACAATGGGAATAATTCAATGTAAACTTTTTTATGTTGTGGTGTATTATTATTATAGCTGTTAAAGTAAGACCCAGGGTAAAGAGGCTGGCACTTGATCCAAACAATAACATTTTCTTTAAAGTTATGTTAGATTCTGTCAAAATCATGAACATAGCAACTAACAAATGTATGCCAGTGGTTTTAAACACTTACCGTGTTTTAAAAATGAAGCAATTTTAGGTAAAATATTTCATTTTAAATGCAAATTTTAGGTAAAATATTTCATTTTAAATGCAAATTTTAGGTAAAATATTTCATTTTAAATACGTGTATGTTTTAATCAGAAAGATTTCTTATCAATACCAAAGGTGTTCCACTTTGTTTGAGACAACGGGCAGCTGCACGCGAAGAAAATGCTAATCGACGAACTACAGAATATGAGATGATCTCTTTCTTTATGAAATCACGTGATAATCGTGAAATGAGGTATGGAAAAGATGACGACGATGATGAAGATGGTGATTATGATGATAATGATGATGATGAGACGTAGGATAGGATTAATGATATACGAGATATGGAAAAGTATGACGAGTATAGAAGGATGAGTAATGGTATTGAGAACAGGAAGAGGACAATTACCAGATGTCTGATATAGAGGATAATGACGGTGAATGTTTTAGTCACTTCCGATTACTTTAATTTCATATCGTTTAGTACATAGAATTAATACATTCATTAAAAGTATATGATTTAGAAAATTTGAACAATATTTTATAATATTTTATATGTACCTGATAGAGTAAATACGTTTTGGGTGAATTTTGTTTTTCTATTAGATTTAACATATCTTACACCAACATGTGTATTACTTTTTTAAGATTAGTACTGAAATAACGAAATTATGCCAATAACGGTATATTAGAAATCAAATGCACATAATTTGACCGAAAAAAAAAATGATTTATGATTTTTTTTCTTGAGGTTAGGAGGTTGTTATTCATAAATTTTCCAAATCCTAAAACTTCAAAGCATTGCAAATGCATGTTTGTGTATATACTAACACAGTAGCAAACAGTATCAAAAACTATCACTTTGAGCAATTCTGCATCAAAATGTTCGTTGATTTAATTTCTTTGCTATTTCCTATAGATGATATGGAGAAATCACATGCCATGATGGAAGCCTTAAAAATGAAACTTTGTGAAGTGTTTGACAATTTTGACATATGTCAAAATGGTGGAACATGCCAAATTGGAAGTGGGGAAAGTTTCTGGGAGGTCTGTAAATGTCCGACCGGGTTCTCTGGTTTATTCTGTGAAACAACAGGAGCGGTTTCACCGAGAGGTGAGGTTTCTTTTGGGACTTTTTATGTTTGATAATTGTAAGACAATGATAATGGAATATTATGACTTCATTGAGTAGATTGTGGAGAACCTGTATCTAGCATGTTGATTTAGGTCCTACGATAGGCATACATTAAGTTATGTAAAACGTTTAGTATGTAAATGTATATTACTTTTAATGATTTAAAAAAAAAACACTTTTTATATGTTTTAAAAACACTAGTTAAAAAACGCTTTAAAAGCTCTACAGCGTTTACAGCGGGTTTTAATTTTTCTATTAAATATGCTGAAACAAATGTTTTAGCATTATGTTATTAGTATTTAGTCATGTCATTGTCCTAAACGCACCAATTTGTAAACCTTTTCTATCACAAATATAAGTACTATGTTATCTGAATATTTTAGTTGTTTCAAGTTCGCATGTTATTAACAGTTGTTTGCCGTGCAGCTATTGTAAAAAATACTTCAAAGTTTTGTACTACTTATTCAGAATGTGAAAATATTGGGTTTAAACATATTTATTTAAGCTCGACTGCCAAACAAGTTCTTGCAACTTATATTAATCACTTTCGAGTCCGCTTTCTGGAACCAACCAGTACTGGTGTCATATGGAGAAACATGGTCGTGACCCGAGTAGAGCTCGAACCCATGATCTCTGGGTTGAGAGGCAGACACCTTAACCACCAGGCCACCGCTCCCCTTATATTTGAAAATATTCTTTCAAATATGACATTTTTTCAGGTTTAAAAAGGCAAATAGCAGTGGTCAATCGTTTAAAATGTTGCCTTGTTTCAACTTTTAAATGTCACAGTCTGTGTTGTTGTTGTTAATGTTGTTATTGTTGTTGTTAATGTTGTTGTTGCTGTTAATGTTGTTCTATATGCTTATTTCTCAGATACTATGTGTAATAGAGACAGGCAAAGAATTAGTACCATTTCGGCTATTATGATGGGATCTGAACATATGAAAGAGAAAATGGTTCTACAAGAAATGTTCAACAGATTTAAACCTCCTCAAAATATAATGTCGACATACACATGTGATGCAGCAGGCAACTATCAACAGATTCAGGTAAGATTTCATTGTAATTAAAGAATATCAGGAATATTAATGTATGTACATGTCAATTTAAATGAAATAAAAAATTGTTGGATTTATGTTGAAAGACTCAAGTACTCACACTTTGGTGGGTGGGTTGGTTTTATTCATTTTTGTTGTTGTTTATGGGAAGATGTCACTTTTATGTGCACTTGTCAAATAATGAACCAAATGTTTAAAAAAAACGTTCACTTTGGCTTACAATCATTTTGAAGACAATAGCGTACTTTATAACAAGTCAAATATTGACGCACATTTGTTTGATCTGAAAGTAATCTCATTTAATCATTTCATTAAGTTATTATTTAGTTCAAACATTCTCGCGGATGAATACCATATCCGCAGACATTTGTTCGATAGAGATGCAAAGCAGTTGTCGGAATATTGGCCAAAAAAATAATACCGGAAAGACTGAATGAAATACAACTACATCATTGCCTTATCATGCATAATTTATATGAAGTACTAATTTATGATTTTGTTTTCTGCCAGATGGGAACAACTCTACCGAAGACACTCCATTCAATACAGATATATTACTGTGTGGACACAGATACTGGTATGAGAATACGTGGAACACCTGTCACGATGGTTGACTCAGGAGTAATGCCAGACTGTACAATAACCACAGCGTTACCCGATATCATGGGTATGTACTTAGAGAACAGAACATACTTTTATTAAAGACTTATACATAGTATATTGTCTTCAAACACTTAATTTACAGCAAAGATACAATTTGAAAGTGATAAATGTTTTACAATAAACACAAGTACATTATTAGCATCTCGAAATATATGTGTGGAGCGTGAAATTGAACTAAAACATAAACAATATCACCGCTCAATCATATCAATATCACCTCTAAGTTTGGAGGCTTTCTTTAAAAAATGCCAAATTGCATAGATCTTTCTATTTGCCACTATTGACCAGTTCATAGAATTTAAAGACAGATGGTCTGGCAAAGTAATAGTGTTTAATATATTTTACTGTAAGACCTCTATAGTAAGGACAAATACAAACAAAGTGGCATATATCTTCTGTAATTACAGAACAAAGCTGCTTGCGATAAGATCGGCGTTGTGATGTTTTTGAATAAGATAACATCTACAAATTATTTCTAGCATAATATGGTGATATTTTGAAATAGGGTAAATGAATGTCCATTGTAGGGTGTTACCTTAATATATACCTGGAAATGAGTTAAGCACACCTGGAAATTTAAAATTGGTTTTGATATATAGACTAAGGTGTGGGCAATGGAAAGTCGATAATGAATTAATTTAATTGGATGAAATGAATACTTTATTTACTTCTTTAAAGGAGAAGCGTGAATTTTACGCGTTTAACGTTAAAATAGTGGCTTTGAGTATGCCAGATACAGAGATACTAGTTTGTTGTCTAAGAAGTAAATTGTAAACACAGCAGTAATTTGACTGCCATACAAAAATGCTTATTCACTATAAAATCAAATCAACAAAACTATTTCCTAAACATGCATTGACTGAATAACGAGCAGTGGACGACACGGACTTGTTGGCTGATCGTGTAAGTGTGGATATATTAAGTTCCCGCTAACCAGCTAAGGGTTACTAAAGTTTTTGTTAAAACTCATAAACAAACATTGAAAGTTTGTTGCCCCTTTTAAAAAATACGCAAATACAAATGAAAATCAAGTAATTTCGCCCATTTTATAATAAAAGAATTCTCAAACTTAGTTTCCTATTTTAGAATATCTTAGATAATTCTATCAGATTTATTTCTTTACTTTTCTATTTTCTTTTGACAAAAGTCCGGAATACTCTTATGGTGTTTTGGATAATCTTAATTTCATGATATTACGTGATATTTTAAATCTTAATTCACATTATACCATTTATAAGACACATTGTCTTCTATTCTAATACTTTTTTTGTCAGAATATTTGAAATACATTGCGTATATTGAAAATTGTTACATGTATATATATATATATATATATATATATATTCATAATCTGAGATTCAAGTATGCTTTAATAAATATTTTTTACTTATTTCAGGTCTTCCTCGAATTTGTATGGTCAGGAACACGACACGCTGCTCTAACGGTGATGAATGCCAATATTTCTGGAACCAGGAGGAAGGTACATGTGATAAAGGCAAAGCAATGGGTGGTTTCAACCGACTGACAGATTGTTATGACAAATGTTCAAGTAGGATCATATTTTGTTATTTCATTACACTTGTGATTATGATAAACTGTGTTTTCTTGTTTGGTCATGTTGATGAATGAAATGCGTTTTATTGAATAAATTGTAATATTGTTGTTATTAACCGATGCATCATAGAGACTGTTGATGTACCGCAAATAATTCTAGATGTATTACCTAAACAACAAAGAAAGACTTTTTACTATTTTGATTCCATAGAAAATGTGTTGTTATAACATATTTTATTAATAAATAAATGATTGGGTCTTTAACAGGAAATACTAGCTTTTTTCTGTAAACGGTTATCTTTATATTTTACCATTCCTTCATACAGCACATTAGCGTTTATGTTTGAATAAAGCTTTATAATTTAAACGGTTACCCTAATATTTTTCTGGTCCTTTCGGTTTATTGATTACAGCACTTAAGTGTTTATGTTTGAATATCGCTTTTGCTGCTTCAAGGGGCGTGAAAGATGTCGCACTATTTTGTGATCTCTAAATGACTGCGTGTAAAATTGCTATTTTCATTTCTTAATCCCTTTTCCCCGGATTTTTATTTACTGTTTACTATTATATGCATTCATATGTTGTATAGTTGTAAAAATCATATGTATTTGTGTGGTTGTTCAAACCAGTAGGTGTTTTTAAGGGAAATAGAGGATATTAAATGAGTGTAGTTTAATACTAAATTTATTGAACGAGCTGCATAAAATCATATTATGCGAGCCTCTGGCCAGCTTAATATTGTTTTATTCAACGAGTTCAATAAATTTAGTATTGAGTCTACACGAATATAATATTCTATTTATCACATATATAAAATAAGATCAGTAAACTGTTAGAATGAGTAGTTTTTTAATGATGCGCCTACAGTGTAACGCAAACATTAGCGCGCTTTAACGCTATGTTTCTATATATAGCGCAAATGACGTCACGTCAAAATTACACTATAGTGTGTAATATCGTTTTTATTACATGGCTTTATTACACTCCTGCGCGGCGGTTTATGTGATAAAGACTGTTTATCATATTGGTGTATGTTGGCGGGTGGTTACGAGCGTAAATGATTTCTTCTGACCGCATCTTCTCCTAACTTGTACAGAACTAATGACAATTAGTGTCCGGGTGCATCATGAATTAATATTTGTGATTTGATCATTTTGGCAGAATTATGGTCATTGATGTTGTTTCTATTAACAGAATACCTAGTCTTAAATGACAATGTCTTAATTAGCTTGTTTTACTTTGCTATCAGTTTTTTTTTTATACATGTGTATACAATATCATAAGTACATATCAAGAGCTTATAATAGTGTTTAGAGAACATGCCTTTTCGCATTGCCTCTATACGCAATATTTTTGTCTTCATGTTAACTTCGTAAATGTAAGAAAAAAAACATAATTTGCCTGAAACTTTCCAAAGGATTTGGAATTACTATGTATATGCATTTATCATTTATGTTATACGGTTTGTCACATTATCCACGGGTTGTGATGTAATCATTTCACAATTAAGAAATAAACTCTATTTCAAAATTTTCATATATTTGATATCTTTTTGCTTACGTTTATAGTACAAAAAGGTTGTACGAATGATCCAAATGGTGACAGAGCCAATACAGATGGTTTTGTATGTCAGAAGGGTGTTATATCTGGGCCAAAACCATGCCGAATGGAAGATAGTAACGGCGCTGAGGTATGCCCAAGTATCAGTCAGTTACAGCAGTGTATATTCAAATATTTCAAAACGTATTTAAACAGATATAGAGGCGTGTAATGAAATGGCAAACTGTAGGCGAAAATGTGTTATTACATGCATTATAGTTGATAATTTAATTCGTTGAAAAGTTAACATTTTCACATTTCTACACTGATTGTATATTAACATACATTTGTTCTAATTTGATTGTATATTAACATACATTTGTTCTAATTTGATTGTATATTAACATACATTTGTTCTAATTTGATTGTATATTAACATACATTTGTTCTAATTTGATAAATTTCTGTATTTCTCTCGGATGATTGAGTATGTTTCTCGTAAGAAGTTAGCTAGGTTTCTAGCTTAATGTCTAGTCCAGCTTTAAGATCTACATCAGTCTGACTAAAGTTCAGATCTATTTATTTCAGTTATGCTAAAAGCGGAGCGTTATTTACAGCTAATTTTAATCAGATTTAGATAACCATCAACGCAGTTTGCTTTACACACCTCCGTGACTGTTGTGCTAATGCCGCTGATTTCAAATCATTTGCCCTTTGCTGCTGTATATTCGAATTGTTTCTGATGTGTCCTAATTTCATGTTATGAAGCTATCCTGTTTGCTTTCGGACAGTCGGTGGTTCTACTCGTGCCTGCAATACTAGTAATGCAATTAGTGGTACCTGGGGTCTTCCTCAAGAAGTAAACCTGAAAAGTCGCCGTATGACATTTTGAATGTTTGTGTAACTTAAAATCCAACGAAACTAATAAATTTTGATCTCACTTTCTATATACAGTATGACACGTGTGATTACGAGAGACAGTTCTGCGAGGTGGAGGACACAGCATCTGGTCATATAGGAATGTGTAAAAGTAAGATATCCTTTTTATACTTTTTATTTTATGGTGATAATGTAATAAAATGACAATAGAATTTGTTTTCAAATATCTCCGTAAAAAGATATTTCTATTTTTAGTAACATTTTGATCAGAATTCGTGGAAAAAATCATCTAGTATGATTTAAATCATAATTATATGATTCAATTCTTTATGGCTAATTGTTGAAAATTAATTATTCCTAAACGTAAGCTGATGCTACCGTGCTAGGAGAAGTGAAAGATGTTAAATCTCCTGATACATGTGTATCTCTCATGAAAAACATGTTCAATCAAACAGGGTCTTCCATTTTACCTATTGTGATGCTTTCCACGAACGTTTTTTTTTCTTCAGAAAATTAAGGTTCGTTATTATCCTCCAATTGTTTGAGAGATTAAATTGTACTGTTAATTACTTTAAGCATTCCCAAGACGTTGCTTGGATGGGCCTGAAAGCGGTTACGGCGGGAGAACAGTAGGCGCCTATTATTTTAACACCAAAACCCGTACATGTAAAAAGTTCCTGTACAGAGGCATGGGTGGAAACCTTAACAGATACTACCACTTAAAACAATGCCATACAGAGTGCAGCAGTAAGTATATTGAATACAGCTGTATAATTTTGCAAGCTTAAATACTTATATAACCTGAGCTTCTAGGTAAGGGCTAAATTGCATACAACCGTTTACACACAGCCATATAACCTGTCAATAATCTTTGTAACGAATCGATCATACAACAAAACTATTTTGACTGGGAAACCAATAAATTGACTATTCATAGTCGTGTACATGTTTTATACATGTCTCTATATGAAATGGAACGCAACAATATAAATTAACAGTTTCATAAATACATATATATTCGATGCAAAAATATGTCTTTTTTAATCAAAATTATTATATACTCATTTTGGAATGTTCATTTCTTCCTGTTGCAACTTAAATATTATTTAATACGAAGGTGCGTTTCAGAATTTAGAGGTTAAATTCGAAAAATTACAGTCTGATTCGAAAGAAAACAACAAAAAAAAAACAATGGTGGCCATTTCTTTTTCTACAGAATGTACCCAGTCAACATGACTTGATTTTACTGCAAAAAGTACCTGTTTACTGGTACACATTACCGGTAGTAATATGTTCCATTTGGGCATTAACATTTGAGCCGCGTCATGACAAAACCAACATAGTGGGTTTGCGACCAGCATGGATCCAGACCAGCCTGCGCATCCGCGCAGTTTGATCAGGATCCATGTTGCTCGCTATCAGTTTCTCTACTTGCTATGGGGTTTGTAAGCGAACAGCATGAATCCAGATCAGACTGCGCAGAGGCGCAGGCTGGTCTGGATCGGTGCTGGTCGCAAACCCATTATGTTGGTTTTGTCGTGACACGGCTCATTTAGCAATTTAATAAAACAAAGTGAGGGTACTTGCACCTGCTGCTTTGAAACAGGTAAAGGCAATTCAGAAAATGCAACAGTTGCTGACAAGGTGTTGTATGATCCTCACGGATGTCGGTATATATTCCATACATATTACATAAGATGGCGCTTTAAATACAGAATATTCTACGAATTTACTGATTTTAAACAGATATTTTCACCATTGCTGGGCAAAAATATAAACGTTATTATCCTATATCTAGCTCGTATGTACAAGTACGATGATGCCGTATGTCCGATTCCAAAGATGTTAGAAATGTCAATGGACGAAGTTAGTAACTGTGACAGCGATGAGGACTGTGAAGGCGTGAGTGTCTGCTGTTTTAACGGTAAAGGAAGGATCTGTACCAATCCTGTCAGTACGTATTGCTTGTTATTTATCATGGGTTTATTATATCAAAATACGTAGTCGAAATTTAGTAAGTCACAGAAGAACCACTTTTGTTTCGTCATATAGTTATCAATTTATGGCACATCTATGTTTTGCGCTGTAGCCTGAAGATTCCATAGTCATGCTAAGTCCTATAATTATGATAATCGCCATTCAACTTTCCTATATTTCAAAAATATAAAATAAAAATAATTTCGATTTTTTTTTGTTGTTTTTTATGTCAATCATTTTGTATAAGTTTAATTGTTCTTTTAAACAACAACATTCATCACAGATTCAGCCTTCCTCACAATATCGAACTGGCACAAAGCCGAACAATACACATGGAAGTTATATTATCAGTGTTAACTTCGCCAAAATTGATAACAATCTTTCAGGAACGTGTTCATCTGGCTTGAGATGCTCCCTTTTTGGAAGTTGTTCCGGGGATCAGTGCGTATGCGATGATTGTACAGATATACCATTATCACAGGTAAAATAGTGTGCTCGTCTATGTTGACAATAAATTTATGTAAGAAATGTTTTTCTAATGGTTAAACTAGTAATATTACACTATCGCCGAGATATTTAAAACACTGATGCTTACTGAAAACACTACTTTTGTCCGCCATAAATAAGACTGGTTATGTCCGTCGCAAATAAGACTGGCTATGTCCGTCATAAATAAGACTGGTTATGTCCGTCACAAATAAGACTGGTTATGTCCGTCACAAATAGGACTGGCTATGTCCGTCACAAATAAGACTGGCTATGTCCGTCACAAATAAGACTGGCTATGTCCGTCATAAATAAGACTGGTTATGTCCGTCACAAATAAGACTGGTTATGTCCGTCACAAATAAGACTGGTTATGTCCGTCACAAATAAGACTGGTTATGTCCGTCATAAATAAGACTGGTTATGTCCGTCACAAATAAGACTGGTTATGTCCGTCATAAATAAGACTGGCTATGTCCGTCATAAATAAGACTGGTTATTGTCCGTCACACAAATAAGACTGGGTTATGTCGTCACAAATAAGACTGGCTATGTCCGTCACAAATAAGACTGGTTTATGTCCGTCACAAATAAACACTGGTTATGTCCGTCACAAATAAGACTGGCTATGTCCGTCATAAATAACACTGGCTATGTCCGTCACAAATAGACTGGCTATGTCCGTCACAAAATAGACTGGCTATGTCCGTCATAAATAACACTGGCTATGTCCGTCACAAATAAGACTGGCTATGTCCGTCACAAATAAGACTGGCTATTGTCCGTCATAAATAACACTGGTTATGTGCGTCAAAATAAGATTGGTTATGTCCGTCACAAATAAGATTGGTTATGTCCGTCACAAATAAGACTGGTTATTCCGTCACAAATAAGACTGGTTATGTCCGCCACAAAAAAGACTGGTTATGTCCGTCATAAATAAGACTGGCTATGTTCGTCACAAATAAGACTGGTTATTCCGTCACTAAAAAAGACTGGTTATGTCCGCCACAAATAAGACTGGTTATGTCCGTCACAAATAAGACTGGCTATGTCCGTCACAAATAAGACTGGTTATTCCGTCACAAATAAGACTGGTTATGTCCCCCAAAA